AGGTACTTGGTGAATCCACCCGTCTCTAGATCAATGGACCTTAGGGCACACAACTAGGAGAGGGTAGGAGGAAGTGCATGGGGGAGAACATTTTCTACTGTGCTGAGAAAGGAATGATGGCCCAGTGGTTGGGGAACTAGCCTAGGACTTGGGAGATCTCATTTCAAGTCCCTGCTCTGCCACAGACTGCCTGTGACACCTTGGGCCAGTCACTTAGCCTCTTTGACCATCAGTCCCCCATCTGTACAATGGTGATAACAGCACTCAGAGCTACTAAAGATTGTGAGGTGCTACAGTAATAGGTGATATACAAGTACCTTCGGTAGATGAGGTCCCCAGCAGACCAGGGCCTGGAGCTTTAGTGTTCAGGGGGTTTCCCCATGTAGCTAGTGTACACGATTTTCAAATAAATAAAAGGTTTTGCTCCTGAACTAATCCTCTCTCTCACTGGTGGGGTTCTTGTAGGCACAGAATCATCCTCTCCCCAACATCACACACTCCCAGCCCAAAGACACCAAAATCTGCACAGCACATCAGCTGTCCAAGGGCACACAGACAAAGCTACTATGGTGAAGTACCAAGACTTTCCCCAGAGTCTAACAGTTCTGCTCCCTGGGCAACAGAACCCTTTGTGGAACCCCACCTCCTGTCTCATTACAATGGTCAAGGAGCTGTGGGATACAATGTAGCTAATTCCCAAGGGGAGGAGACAGGTGGGGAATTTTATACTTGCAGCACCTTACCTCTCCCCTCTGAGGGGGTACCACATTCCTCAGTAACACTGCCAGAAGGGCCCTACTGGTGAGAAAGCTGTGCCAGGGACACATTCAGAGGTTGAGGGGTGCATGGGACGGGGGTTTTAGGCAGGGCCGGCTCCAGGGTTTTTGCCGCCCCAAGCGAAGGGAAACAAAAAAAAAAAAAAAAACACACAAAAACACAACAACAACAAAAAGCCGGGATCGCAATCTGCGGCGGCAATTCGGCGGAAGGTCCTTCACTCCAAGTGGGAGTGAGGGACCGTCCGCCGAATTGCCGCCGAATAGCCGGACGTGCCGCCCCTCTCCAGAGTGGCCGCCCCAAGCACCTGCTTGGCAAGCTGGTGCCTGGAGCCGGCCCTGGTTTTAGGACAATCAATGGTGAAGGACATTTTCCTGAGCCCATGTCATTGACTGGTGAACAGCACGACACTACAGAATGTCTTCCTGCGGGGGCAGTATTTCTCAGCCAATGCTTTTCTGAATTGATAGTGGGAGTAGACAGTGCTCCAGGTTGGTGCTCACAGATTTTTTGGTTTTATGTTTTTCAGCCAGCATCGCCCTTGCTGATATCTCAGCAAAGGGCCAGAGAACAAAGGAAACGCTGACACTTCTTACCGTTCTTCCTGAGGGAAGCTTGCCATGTCATTTTCCATGCTGTACTCTGCCTGGGGGCTACACAGAGAACTTCAACCCACCACTCTCAACCAATACCACGTGCATTTTTGTGAGCACTTGGGATTCAGTCAAAAGTATGCACGTGGACACCCAGTCAATTCACTGAACACAATCAGGCTTAAAAAACACTGAGGGTTATTAGCCATTGGGACACTTTAAAAACAAAACTAAAAACTCAGCCCTTGGTAAAGACCTGCTCTAGGAATTATTTCGGGGATGTTCTGTGGCCTTTGCTATATAGGAGGTCAGACTAGATGATCACAGTGATCTCTCCTAGCCTTGGAATCTATGGTATTCAGTGGCATTTAGCATGGCCTTTTTAACAAACAATCAAGAGTGACATGGTGCCAGCCATACCCAGGTGGCTCCTCTTTGGGGCTTCATGACGCCGAAGGCATTACAGCCCCATGCTCATAAGAACATAAGAATGGCCATACTGGGTCAGACCAAGGGTCCATCCAGCCCAGTATCCTGCTGTCTGACAGTGGCCAATGCCAGGTGCCCCAGAGTGAGTGAACCTAACAAGGAATGATCAAGTGATCTCTCTCCTGCCATCCATCTTCACCCTCTGACAAACAGAGGCTAGGGACACCATTTCTTACCCATCCTGGCTAATAATCATTAACTGACTTAACCTCCATGAATTTATCTAGTTCTCTTTTAAACCCTGTTATAGTCCTAGCCTTCACAACTCCTCAGGCAACGAGTTCCACAGGTTGACTGTGCGCTGTGTGAAGAAGAACTTCCTTTTATTTGTTTTAAACCATTTAGTGGCCCCTAGTTCTTATATTATGGGAACAAGTAAATAACTTTTCCTTATATCATAATCACCAAGACCACCACCACTTAGAATGCATGGAGAGTGCCTGCCTCTGGGGCTTTTGAATGGGTGTGATCACATGATACCCTGCTTCCAGTAACAGTCTTCTCCTCTAGTGTGGGGTGGGGAAGAGGATAGAAACTTTCCTGCTGTGAAGGGCTAGCAGAGCTTCTCCCGTAGCTCAACAGGAGAGCTCCTACTTTGGGATCCAAGCACCTCCAGTTCATGCCCTAACCAGGATGTTTCCTGGTTCCAGTTTCTCATCCTTCCCACACGCTGCAATACTTCATCCAGCCTTTGGTTCCAGGCTATTTTACCCCAGTGCGCATTTTCAGTTTTAATTCCTGCGCCATGAAATCAGGCAATGAGGAAGTGTAAGGAGAGCAGTCCCGCACCCCTCCATCATTAGCACCTGCAATGCACACTGAGGAAAAGCTCATTCAAGACCTAACTGGTGAAATACATGGCCACAGTTGCAGAGATAGTCTGAGAATCCTGCCTGCACTGAACATGGCATTTCTAGATGCATGGGGGGGAGGGAGGGGGAAGGAGGAAATGGATGAATGGTCCTCTCATTAGCATGTGAGTACACACAACGCTCTTCTACTTCACACCTCTAATTCACCTCATGCTCTAATTCCACCACAAGTTGCTGGGCTAGATGCAGGAATTACTGGGAGAAATCTCCAGCCTCTGTTAAGTAGGAGGTTAGAGTAGATAATAAGAGTCCTTTCTGGTTTTGAAATCTGCGAAACCCTTGTCTTAGCACTGCTGGTCCCTCACCGCCCACCTCTGAATTATTTCCTGCTTCTAATGAGTCTCAGTACGTGTACAGCACCACATAGGTGCGTATATAATACTTTAAAGACAAATATAAAGAGAGGGTGTCACTGACATGACATCAGTGATCTCATGGTCATTTCAGGCCACAAGCCCCAAGCCTGGCTATTGAGGTTCAGCCAGCATTTCATTTTGCAGCAAAACAGTTACAAAAAGCAATGTATTACCTTTACAAATCCTTATCAAAATTATGTTTGCTTTGTGGTACTTCATTAAAGGTTGTTTTGGCATGCATTGCTCTGCCTATTGTTGTTATACATAATGGGTAAACACCCTTTGTCTCAAGGGTTATGGGGCTACAGAGCCGCTCCATGCTTTCTGCGTAATAAACAATCTGTATACAGAGTGCCAGGGGGATTTGAGAGATACTTGAACAATAAGACACATACAAATATGAACAGGTTTCTCTGGGAGGAACTGGTGGAATTGGTCTGTCTTCTCCAAACCCTGCTGCAGCCTTCTGCTATCTTCCGAGCACTTTAAACCCAGCTAATTGCAGCACTGTATGTTCTAGCTTAATGGGAGAGGCAGATGGACTAACAGAGATACAAATGGAAAGCTGGCTAGGAAGGTAAATAGGCAGAAATGGGAAGACAGGCAGCAAGCCTGATAATGTTAAATAAATCTCTCCAAAGTGCTCCTGGAACTAAAAGCCAATCTCAGCCTCAACTCTAGCACTGAAGCCCTGCCTCGAAATGCAGCATGCCACAGCCCTGGCAGGACTGCGGTCACCTTTGGCACTTGGCTACCCTTAGCTGCAAGAACACAGGCCTGCTGAGATGGTGACACGGCCAATCTGGGGTGCAGTGACTGAGGCCCTGGCGCCCTACTCTGCACCCCAACCCCCCTCCCCCAGCATAGTCACCCAGTGGGAGCCATGGAGAGACACATTATGGAGAGACACATCATGGGAAGACTCCTGATCCTCGCGGCAGGAGGGGCAGGGGTGCCAGTCTCTCTGGAACATTCCAGGGATGAGGAGGTGTGGAGCCAGCCATACCTGTTTGCTGAAAAGGTGGCAAAGGGACAGCCTGGGGAGGGGGTGACCTTGATACCAGCTGCCCCAGGCTGGAGGACCCCGTTGGAAGGCCTCGGGGGAGACCCGGGGTGGCTCCTCCTGCTCCCCAGCCCAGAGCCGCACGGCCAGCTCCGCTAACTCCATCCCTCCGAGGCAGGAGCCCTGCCCCTCCCTTTCTCACCGCGCCCAGCTGCGCCCTGCTGCGTCGCAGGCTGCAGAGCCGCTGGCTGGACGCACCGAACCGCCGCTACACGGCTATGCCCGGGGGACCCTCCCCAGGGACGATGGCCCGGCCAGTCCGGTCCCCGAGGACCCCCCCCCCTTTCGGAACAGCGACTGCAGCCAGCACCGAGCAGGGCTGGGAGCCGGGCCAATCTGCAGGACGAGGACGGGTCTCCGGAGCCGAGCCCGACCCCGACCCCGAGGAGGGCTGGGCAGGCGGCGGGGGTACCTGTCACTCGGGGAGATTGGCTGACCTACATAGCGGCACCGCCCGCCAGCGGCAGGCAGCGCCCAGCGACCCCCGCCCCGCTGTGCCCGGGCTCCCAGCCCCCGCGCTGAGCGCCGCAGAACAGGGACCCCTCGCCCGCACCTGGCTGCACCCTAGGGGCGCGGCGCCCCCGGCCCAGCCCCAGCGGGCCCGAGGCTGAGCCCGGCCGAACCGAGGCAACGCAGAGGGGCGGGCAGGCGAGACGCGCTACCCCAGCTGCCGGGCAGGAGGCGGCGGCTCCCGGCCCCTCTTCTAGAGGCTCGGGTTACGGAGCTGTCTGCGGTCCGCTCCCTGGGCTGCGGGTGGCGCGACCGGCCTCCGCGAAACGGCGTTTGCAGACAGGAGAGGGGGGACCCCCCGCCCGCGGCCCGGGCTGACACCCCACGGCCCCCCACTCACCATCCTGCGAGAGGGTCCCGCTGCCCGCCGCCAGGCAGCCGAGGAGCAGCAGCAGGGTCAGCGCCGGCGGCAGCATGGTTGTTCTAGGGCTGCGGGGATCCTCCAAGGCTCAGCCCCGCGGGAAGCGAGCGTCCGGCCGGCCCGCCCGCACCCACAGCCACGCGCGACCACCGCGGCAGCTGCTATTGACTGAAGCCAGCGCGGCGGCTGCAGCAGGGGATTAAATAGAGCACGCGGAACGGACCATTAGGGCTGCGAGCGTAGGGGGACGGGAACATCTTTCCGAACGTTTTCCCCCCTCCGCCCTGTTGAAACACGCTCGCTCGGCTCCCCCCGCGCGCAGTGCCCCCCGCAGAAGACTTGGTGCGGTCCGCACGCTCCGGTCCCCGCGGAGCGCGCTGCTGCTGCTGCTCGCGGGGCGGGGGCTGGCGTGGCCGCGGGGGGCCCGGGGTCCGAACCAGCAGCGTTGGGCTCGGACGGTGCACTGCAGCCTTTGGGCGCGGGCGGGTCACTGGCACCTGCCGGCACTGCCTCCGGTGACTGCTCCGAAGCAGCGGGACCAGCCCTCCCCCCGGCGGGCGCACACGCACGCACAGCCCGCGTCCCTACAGACCGTGGGAGGCTGCGTCTCCCCGACGCTTTGTATCGCGGCTGGGAAAAACGGCAGCCGCCAGCCCCAAACCAAAACAAGCCACACCCGCTTCCAGAACACACCCAGCCGCGCCTCCGAGATGCGGGCCACCGCGGTGTGATTGTCCCTGCCCCAGGCTCATGCCCCAGGCTCGGGCTAGCCCGGGGTGGCAGGATGGTTCAAGTCATGGTGGGGAAAGGACGTGATAAAACGCATTTCCCCACTGGGGCTGTCACTGATGTCTGGGGAGCTGGGGTCTATGTGGGGCAGGCTGTATCAGCGGTGTATTGGTGAGGAGGGGTCTCTGAGCAAGCTGTATCAGTGGAGTATTGGTGAGGAGAGGTCTGTGTGGGGTAGGCTGTATTAGCGGTGTATTGGTGAGG